TTTTTTGACAGAGAGAGACACAGCGAGAGAGGGAACACAAGCAGGGGGAGGGGGAGAGGGAGAAGCAGGCTTCCTGCTGAGCAGGGAGCCCGATGCAGGACTCGAGCCCAGGACCCTGGGATCATGACCCGAGCCGAAGGCAGACGCTCAACAACTGAGCCACCCAGGTGCCCCCTCACTCAGCATTTAACTGTGATCAAGTGCCTGTGGCCTGTGCTTTTAGATGATTTTGTTTCCATTTATATACACGTATGTCATTGGCGTAGTTTTGTGTAACATAAATAAATGGGATCCTCCCATACAAACCATCTCGTAATTGGCTTTCTGATTGTGCCTTGCAAAGGTCTGACTTTCCAGTCGGTCTGGGGTGCTCTCCAGAAAGGCTGTCCGCAGTAGATTCAGCCAGATACCTGTTCGTGGTTTTGCACTGGCCCCTCTTACAAGCAAGCCTGCACTGCTTTCTTTTGGCTTAGCTGTGTCTGGTTTGGAAAGGCCTTCCCACTCCCAAAAACAAGGAGGAGTCATGTTCTCAGGGGCTCGTGCAAACACGGGAAGTGGAGGAGGAAAGGTCGGGGAGATCGCCGCTGCCGCTGTCCACCCGGGAAGCGTCCGCAGATCCACAGATGAAATCGTTTTTATAATCTTTAATACATCTGGAATTTATGGACATAATTGTTCCGATTTGGTTTTTGTGGCTTTGTAGAAAAATAAGGTAGGTCCACTTAAAAGTGGAGAGTAATGCTGACTCCACTTCCTAGTGATCCTGTCCCTGCTACACAGGCCTGCATGCCTGTGGTCCGTCTGTCCTGCCACAGCTCCCACAGCTCCCCCTTCGGGTCGCTCCAGCCACTACCGTTTGATGGGTCAGATTTGAAAGTCCTTGGGTCAGATGCCAGTTTCACGTGTGGCACCGCTGCCCACCAGCTGTGTGGCCATCATGGGGGTGCCCCACGGCAGGTGCTGGTGAGGGTCAAGGAAAGCTGGCCAGGCAGGCCTGGGAATGAGGGCTTAGTAAACCTGGGGTGCTTGGAAGCACTTTGTGAGAAACTGGTTATTTCCTCCAGCCGTTTAATTGTCCACCTTTTTGCTATGCTTCGTCTTAACTGAATCAGTTGCTGGTTCCCAAAAATACTTGTCCTCTGGCATCTTTACAGTTTGGCAGCACAGAGCGTGTGGTGCTGTCCTCACAGGATGGGGGCAGCACCCTCCCTTCCCTCCCCTGTCTCTGTTTGCCAAACCCAGCGCTCCTTCAGGGGCATCTTAAATAGCACTCTATGCAGAAATTTGTTCCTAGAAATGAGCGATTTCTTTTACTTCCTGTATCAATCTAGCAATTTTCTACTCTACTTATTTTTAAGTTTTTACTTTGGAATAATTTCAATCAACTGGAAGAGTTGCAAGAATAGTGCCAAGAATTCCTGCATGCCCCTCCAAACTTCACCTGTTATTAATATTTTGCCACATTTGTGTTATCATTTGCTCCCTTTTTAAAAACTACAAGTCATTTATTTTATAAAATTCAGGGTCGGTCTGATATTTCCTCACAAATAGATTTGGGTTTGTATTTTTGTCAGGAATACCATGGAAGTGACATTGGGTCGGTCATCTTTAGGACGCTGAGCCAGGAGGGATGCAGTGTGGTTTGGCCCCCACTGGATTGCTAAGTAGTCAAAAGGGGAGGGACACCTGGGTGGGTCAGTCCAGGAAGTGTCTGCCTTCGGCTCAGGTCATGATCCCAGGGTCCTGGGATCGAGTCCCACATCAGGCATCAGGCTCCCTGCTCAGCGGGGAGCCTGCTTCTCTCTCTGCCGCTCCCCCTGCTTGTGCTCTCTCTCTCTGGCAAATAAATAAATAAAATCTTTAAAAAAAAATCAGTATAAAAAAAGTAGGGGAATACTACAAAACTACATAAATATCCCCTTTCTCATCAAACTATGATTTTTTACTTTATCATTCATTAATAAATGTTCCTGAGTTTGTTGTGATTTCAAATGGTGATTTTCCTATGTGTATTAGTCGGCTTCCTATGTAAGGAAGACTTTCCTGCCTCCCCGGGTCATCCATGTGTCCATCATCAGTGTGGACTCACAAGTTCTTTTTTACTTGGTGAGTCATACTATGAGTTGTTTTGATGTTTAGATTATTGCAAATTTGGCCTCTGGAAATCTCTTCATGTTGGCTTGTGTCCATTTGCTGTGTTCCTAGGCCTCGTTTTTTGAGAACTTTTTGGTAGAAAAAGATGTTCAGGTTTCTCTTGTGTTTTCTCCTGCTCCAGCCCAGGAACCAGCTGCTCTTTTCTGTTTAATGGAGAGTGGTATTTAGAAACCAACGTCTGGGTGCTGGGCGCTTGCTGCTAGTGAGCATCCCTGCCTCTAGGCTCCTGTTATGGTTGGACCTGCATATGAGTTTATCTTGGTCTGCGTCTGTTTATCTCTCTCTATGTCTATGCTAACTGAGACCTACTGTTCCAGCCTGGCACCATGCTCTTCCTGGCTTGCGGCATCCTCAGTATACCCACCTCTGTAAAAGCCTGTGGAGAGGTCAATGCTGGTTTGCATCTCTGTCCTTAAAACAAGGGCACACCGAGTGCTGTCTTCAGAGGTTTCTTGGGGCAGGATTTTCCCATCTTCACTGTGTGTTCATTTGGGATACAGGTTCATTTGACTCTGTATATGATTTTAGGGTTTTTTTCCCATCTTGATTTAATTTTAGTTTTTGGAAACATTAAATGGTTCTAAAAGTCAAAAGTCATAGAAAAAGGTCACTGCCTTACCCACCCACTTCTGCTCTCCCTCTGTGGGTAATCTGTTCATTTCTAGTGTTCCCCTCTGGAATCATTTTATATACAAGCAGAGATGTATGTGATGTCTTAATTCGCCAATTTGCCGCCTTCAAAACATAGCCTGCCGTGTGTTTGTACTCTGCTTTCCTAAGGACATCAGGAGATGGTGTTCTGTCAGCTGATAGACACCTCCCTCGTTCCTCATACAGCTGCATCGTTCTCTTGTGCATGTGCTGGAGCTGTTCTATCAATTTTCTGTTTGTGAGGTTAGGTAATTTTTTTTAATAGTTTGCAGTTACAGGTAATGCTGTGATGGAAACTGCATTTTACTGCCGGAGGTGTGCCTTCTGTCTCCCTAATGTTCTGTGAGCTTCTCAAGGTCACAGGTAACAAACATCCTTTTGTTCCACAAAGTGCAAGTGACACTTCTTGCTAATGTCAAGCTCTTTCAAGCTCTGTGCACATCTTCCTAAGATCTTGGGGCCAGGGGATGGGGGTTGAGCCGCCATCACCTGGTTGAGGACATCCTTGGTCACCCTGTCCATCCTTGTCCTGGCCCTTCAGGCTCTAGGCAGCGAGCATCATCCCATCCTGGCTGCATCTGCACCTTTGCTCTCCTGGGCTCTCCTTCCCAGTGGGGTAGCCTGGCCCTCCACACCCCTGCCCAGACGGCCAGCAAGCCTTCCTCTGTTCATCCGTCTTCATCAGTTGTGTTTGTTTTGCTTTCGCAGACTTGTCTTTTTCACATTGGGCTTTGCTGGGAGCACCCCGGTGGCATCTTCTAAGGAGAAGATCCAGAGCTTTTCTGAATGCACACAAGGCCACAGATCACTGCCCTGTCATCCCTCTACTGTGTTGATTTCTGTATCAGTGAATTACACCATCAGGGCCTGTGAAGCCAGGACCATGGCTCAGAAACACGCTCTGTTTTTTAGGCCGCTGATTAAGAAGAAGTTGAGCCAGGGCGTCACCCTCGTTGTTGACAGATATGCATTTTCTGGTGTCGCCTTCACCAGCGCCAAGGAGGTGAGTGCCGCGTGGTCCCCAGTGGGAAGATGCAGGGTGTGGACCCAGGAGTGTGTGGAGTGTTAGGATTCTTCTCTGCTCGGTTAGTTTGCTGTGTATTGTAGGAAGAGCAGACGTTTCTGGAGCCGCAGCTTGTTGTCGGGTAACTTGGACGTCCCCACCTCCCTTTCCCAAGGTGGTCGCTCAGCAGCGCTCCTCCACTCAGTGTCTTGTTTTCAGGGCAGGTGGTGCGTGTCTGGGCGACCTCTGTGTGGTTTCCTGGCCTCCCCGCGCCATGGGGCTGTCGTCTTAGGGGTAGAGTAGCTATGCTACCACTTCGTTTTGCTACTTACTTAGAAGTTTTCAAATATATACCAGCAGAGAGAACGATAAACCACCCACACCGACACCTGTCTCAGAGCCTTCTGGTCTCCTCTCCGACCCATCAGACACATCACCGGCTCCTCCACGGACATTTCAGTTCACATCCCAAAAATGACTTCTTACAAACATGTCGCCTCGGACAGCAGGTGTTTCGTGCCACCGTCACTCAGTCCGTGTGCGAAGTGGCCAGTGCGGTTAGAAACTGTTTGATGTGTCTTGTGTTTCTACAGTTAGACTGAATCAGAATCCATTTCAGGGCCATACTTGAAGGGTCTCTTAAATCTCTTTTAAAATATAGGTCCTTTTTTCTGTGCATTAAAATTTCTTAAAACTTTATTTTGGGGCAGCTACTTGAAGAAGCATTGGGCTCCCCTGTCAAGAGCTGCAGGGCATCTGGCTGTCTCGTTTGTGGTAATAGCCCTTGATGATGGTTCTTTCACGAGGGGTTGCAAAATGATAACCTTTTAATTCTGCCCGTCCTTCCTCGGGCGCTGGCTGGAATCCTTCTGAAAGGACACTTGCGCTATGAAGTATTGGTCAGTGGGATTCCATCTGTAGAGGAGGACAGGGAAAGTGACCGTCATGCCCCGGACTGGCTCCCTCACGTCCTCCTGATGTGCTGCTGCTGGGGAGCTGTGGGGGCTGACGGAATTCTCAATTTTTGGTATGTCGGACAGAGATTAGCTCATTTTCCCCCTTTTATGAATTTTGAAACTAAACATTAGACCCCATTAAGCCTTCTTTCTCTAACTGTTGGGTTCTGTGCTGCCAGAATTTTTCCCTGGATTGGTGCAAGCAGCCAGATGTGGGCCTCCCCAAGCCGGACCTCGTGGTGTTCCTTCAGTTACGGTTGGCCGAGGCTGCCATGCGGGGCGAGTTTGGCCGTGAACGCTACGAGAACGGGAACTTCCAGGAGCGGGCACTGCACCGTTTCCACCAGCTGATGGCGGATGAGACTTTGAACTGGAAGGTGAGGGTGTCTTCCACTGTCACCTCCCGAATGGCCAACTGGGAGCTGCTGGAACATGGCTCGGAGTCCTGCTACCGAGCAGAGACGTCGGCCGAGCACTGCTCCACCAGCAGAGCCTTGGGGCGCGCCCCTCAGGCATAGCAAACCCTTTCCTTCGTGAGTGCAAAGCAGGGGAGTTTGGGGCCTGGTGGGTGGATTGGGGAGAATTTGCCAGACAGCAGCTCCCAAACAGCAGTCCCGCGTGGCCAGCCGTCCTCCGCCGGGCTTTGCCAGGCTTGTCATCTAGAAAGCACAGCCCGTGAGTCACTGCTCACTTTGCCTTCCATCTGTAACCTACAAGTCGCACTCTGGCTCGTTGTATCTGTCGGCCCCCCCCCCAGTCTCCTCGAAAGTTGAGTTTGGCTGGTTTGGGGCTCAGCCCCCACCCCCTGCGAGTCATTTGCTGCCTCCCTCTCAACCCTGTCCTGCCAGTTCCAGCCCCAGGGCCGTTCCTCATTTCCTCTCATAGGGATGAGCTCCTGTCTCCACGCTCACTCCCAAGCCTGGGCCTCACGCGCAGGCTCCCGTCCCCCCACATCACCACACTCTGCCGGCTCCCTGTCTCCCTTTGCTCGGTGCCCCGCAGCCCTGCTCTCTCCATCTAAGGGCACCTCACCCAGGGCCTGGCCCCAGTCCCAGGGGCCAGCCTCACATCTCCCTCCCTGAAGGACCATCCACTGTCCTCCCTGTGGACACCAAAGCTGGCCCCTTACCCCTTCCTCCCTGCAAGCACCCATCCCCAGACCCACCTCGTGTGAACACACCTGGTCGCCTGGGCCCACCTTTGTCCCCGTGTGGTCAGAGGCCGCCCCTGGCAACGAGCAAGCTGACGTTGACAGCTGACAAGTCTCACTCCCGATACAGGCTGCACTCTTGCTGCTCTGGGGAAGGTTTAAGGGTGTTGGCTTTGGCTCCTAGTTTGGCCGTCTTGTCTGCTTGATGCTTCTCCCACGACCTGCCTGTCTGCAGCCCTCCCCACTTCTCCACACTGACTTCTGCTTGCTCGTTGCCAGGGTGGGGGTTCCTCTGGGGGGCTCCTTTGTGGCGTAGGTTGCACACGTATTTTTAAAGTATGGGTTTCACCACTAGCTAAAAGTACAGCGTTCCTATGAAACCTCTCATAAGCGAAAATGGCATAAAGCAAAGAAGCAGTTACCATTAATTTATATGGAAATGTTTTTTAATGTTCTCAGACCCAAAAAACCACCTTTCCTAGGCTTTTGTGACGCATCTTGCTAACAGACGCACAAAATCAATGGAGATGAAGCCCAGATGCACAGCTCAGAGCTCGGCGGCTGGACGCCAACATGCCGAGAGAGGCTCCCGGGAAGGAGCTGCGGGGGTGGGGGCGGGGGGGGGCTGCCCCCAGGACGGCTCGCTGCAGAACCGGCGCGGAATGCTATTTTTGCTTTTTGCCTTTTTTTGTAAAAGCAGAAACACTTTCTGGATTTCCTTCGGTTAGCAAAAACAGGTACTAACATAAATCACAAAAGCAAAGTGGTGTAACACAAACTTTCACAAAGCAGGGGACTCCTGCGTACCCACGGCCTTTCCATCTGTTTCATGTGCTCACATCAGTGCTGAGCCTACACGGCTTATCTCATGGTCTGAGAAGGGCATTTCTTTGCCCACATGGAAACTTCAATCCCATTTTTGTACTGGTTGATTTTATCATACAAAAAATTGCAAAGTTCTGTTCCCTTTGTTTTTCTTTGTCAGTCAGTTCTATGTGGCTTCAAACTATTCTGGATTTATAACACATTTCAAACCCTGCAAGGAACAAGACAAGAAGGTATGAAATCAGGAATGGGAGTGGGGAAAGAAACAGGAAACCGTTTCCTGCCGCCCAGTGCTGGCGCTCTCCGCCCCGAACCTCCCCACTTTTCATCTCATTTCACATCCTTTAGCTTAAGAACGTCTTTTAACATTTCCTGTAGGGTGGGTCTCCTGGCATAGAACTCTCAGGTTTTGTTCATCTGAAAATTAACTTTTTTAACATTCTTTGAAAAAATTTTTAAACCATAACAAAAAAAGTTACAACTTGCAAGTACAATACAAAAAAACTCTTCCCTGGGACCTTTGAGAACAAATTAGTCCCTCATGCCCCCTCCCTGCCATGGACTGTCAAAATTAGGACATTAACGCAGATCCCTTGCTACCCCCAGGTCCCCAGGCCCCGTTCAGGTTCCCCCGTTGGTCCCACTACTGGTGTCCTTTTTAACAAATGACCCAGTGTACAGTCCGTACAGTCCCATCGCTGGTCTCTAGCCTGTGTGACTTTCACAACACTGACACTTTTGAAGCTCATAGCATTTGATTTGTAGATGAGTCTCAGATGGACTTGGCTGTTTCCCCATGATGGGATTCACGTGCGTCTTTGGCAGGGCGGCCCAGGAGGGAGGCTGGGTGCTCACTGCATCCTGCCATGTGGGTAGGATTTCCATTTGTTCACTTCTTGGGATGTTCACTTTTCGGGGTATTGATTTTTATTTGCGTGCCGCTGACGCACACTTAAAGTGAGTTTCGGCGTGCAGTCGAGTGACTGGACAGGAGCGTACGTTGCGCTGGGCTCGCCGCACGTGTGGCCCCACCTGTCACCACACGACGCTGTCGCGGGATCACTGACCGCGTTCATCCCCGGGACGTACTCGCTCCGTAACTGCAAGCGGCACCTCCCGCCCCTTCACCCCTTCTGTCCACCCTCCACCCCTCCCCGCTGTGCGTTTATGGGTCTGATTCTGCTCTTTGTGCGATTATTCACTTGCTTTGTGTGTTAGATTCCACATACAAGTGAAATCCTGCGGTATTCGTCCTGCTCTGTGTGACTTAGTTCCCGGAGCGGGACGCAGTCTCGGGCTCCCTGTGTTGTTGCCGACGGCAAGAGCTCATCCTTTTGTACGGCCGAGTGATGCCCCACTGTGTGCGTGCTGGCTCGGTGGGGTTTGCCAGGCTTCTCCACGGTCACGTCTCTCTCCCTGTGTAATTATTTTGTGATGAGATTCTTATAAACCATGTAAAAATCTCACAGCTCATCAGATTTTCAGTTTACCTGTACGTCTCTCTCTGTACGGATTTGTGTTTCTGTTTGACTCACCGCGGTCTGTCCTGCCCGCCCCGCCGCCCCAGCCGGCAGCTCGTCACCTCCTCGCGGGTCCCTGCGCTTCAGGACGCGTACTGCTCCCCCGCACATTAGTACTTCCGGGTTCATCCTGTACGCTTCCAGCCCTGCTCTGGAATCCGCTGCTTCCCCAGGCTTCCATGCTTCGGTCTTGTGGAGAAAGCTATTGTAAAGCCGTGGGCAGGGGCCCAGGTGCTTGTTGGCACGGTGCCGTCACTGCTCCCCCGGGCCCGCAGAGGACTGGAGATGTGGTTTCTACGGGATATGGCTGCGTGGGAGTTCGTACACAGCGTGTGCGAGTTTACATGTAACGCGTGTGCGTAGTACGCCCGTGTGCGAGTCTGTACGCGGGGTGTGTGTGCGTAGTACGCCCGTGTGCGAGTCTACGTGGGGTGCGTGTGCATTTAGTACGCC